CAAATCTCGGAATGTGCTCAGTAGGGTTTGTCGGAATAGCCATGATGGCGAATCGGTCGCCGGTTTCACAGTTGGTCAAGCATTTCACGTTTCAAAGGCCCGAGAAGTTTAGCCCCGTAGCTTTTCAGGTCAGACGCTAGAACTCCATCGTCTATGGAAAGGGGCACATCTCGGACTGTGATTCTAACTCCGTTTCGCTGTTGAAAAGAGTGATTGTCACTGATTTCAACATACCTGTCGCGGAGGCTGATCCCTGACGCGATGAGAGAAGCACGTTCCTCTGGATCGCGTAGGTAGAGACGCCACAGGCCGCGAACCTGTTGAATTCCAGCTATGTTTGACGCTTGAACACGGCTCGCAACAGCTTTGTAGACCTCGACGTTCGTAAAGAAAGTCTCGGAAGAACTAACGGCATGGACATCCTTCTCCAGAAAGAATACTGGTTTACATGAGGATGCTGGCGGTGCGTTAGGGGCCGTCGGCGCGGTGTCTATGGCCTTGCCATTCTCGACTGCTGACGCATAACTCATGGCTGTCGGTGGGAGGGGGGCGATTGTCGTCGTTGTAGTAATCAGGAAACAAAGTTCAGCAAAGCAGGAATAAGGAGTGTTGTACTCTCGACCTTATCCTGGGATCTTTGCCGGAAGGTTACGAAACGGAATAACTTGAAAAATCTGAGGAAAAAGGCTTAGAAAGGAAACTAGAACTCCTAGAGAAAGCGGAGCTCTAGAAAACGCAGCAGGTCGCCTCGCAAGGCATCATCAACCGTTACAAAGATACTGTGCTTCAAGTTCGAAGTTCATTTTAATTACACACACACAATCATTGCATTCACATAAGGTCGGACTATCATGGTCGTGTCACTAGTAACAAAGACAGCCCCACCGTCTTACCGTGCCTGCTACTTATTAAGCGCGACTGGCAAATTCCAGCAACAGTTGCGGCCAGCACCGCGAGTGTTACTGCCGTGGTACCACTTATCGCAAGATATCTGCAATCGGCGGTCCACTTGACTTCTTCTTGGGTAACGAGGAGTGGAAAATGTTCCTTACGTGCTGCAACGTGCCTTTTATCTTCTGATTTGACAGGCACAATCGGCAGAAGTTGTGGAGTTCGGGCAGCATCTGGCCGAGCTTCCTCGAGATCCCCAACAAAACTACTTCGACCCTTGGCGCGAAATCTAGCCTGTGTGACCTCTGTTAATAAACAACAGATCACGTGAAAAACGAAGCATTCCGATCGGTGGTTCTCCTCCAAAGGTCATCCAATCAACTATGAGCTCAAAATATGAATATTTATGAGCCAGCTACTTGGTGACGTAGGAGAAAATTCGTTGGGAATCAACTAGGTCCAGACCTATTTGCGGAGAGGATGTAGGACTCGGGAGCTATAATAGGTTTGGTAACCAGGCTAGGGTATTTGTGTCTTGTGTCCCGCGGAGGTACAGTCACAACCTGCGGGTAGTAAGAAGAACTCCTCCCAGCCAACTGCGCTATGCCTTCCCCCTAAAAGCAACGTGGCGGTTAGGGGGTTCACATTTGGGGTCCTCTCAGTTCAGAAACTACGGCTTCCTCCTTCATTAACGATCGATATCCTTGCTCTGGTGGAATGTGGGATCACAGGTTTAGAACAAGACACTTTGGCCGCGTTTTCTACATTGAAATCTTGGTTTCACAATCTGAACTTAGCCCACCTGTCTTTGAGATCAAATTCTATCAAAAGCATTCACCCCCAGGCATTTCAGTCACTGGAAAGGCTCAGGAAGCTAGACTTGAGCCGAAATGAGTTAACGTGTGTGTCTTGGGAGACTATGAGTGGGCTGAATTTAAGAAAGCTGGCACTGGGCGGGAATAGACTGCTTAGTCTCGGTAACTCTGCTCCTTTGGTACTGACCTGGCGACTTGATTATTCTTACTACCTATATTCCGGCCTAAGAGTTGCAGTTAGGGTTAACCAGTTGCTTTTCTGTATCACTAAAGGTCCTAAACTAGTGCAATATCACGTTCACACACACTACAATACCTCACACCTACTTCCGTCCGACCTGGAGCATATCAGTCTATGCCACCAGCTTGGGAAAAAAACGCAAGCTCATCACAACAAACCAGATGAAGTATGCCCTGCCATTTCTGGCCATGTCAGTCAGCACAGAAACAGACAAACACGCTTCAAACATCACCCACTTGTGCACACAGGTTTGGAAAGCTTCTAGTGGCGTAAGAGTAGCATTGGGGGGAGACACTGCACTACAAATTGTCCCTATGGGTGTAGAATCACTGCCCCAAACCTTTGCTGTAGTTATGTCAGACATCATGCCTGATAGAGCGAACAGAAGTATATCGTATGCTGATGTACACAGTAGAAATGTCAGCACCTTTGGTCATGAAGAAATGATAAACGTGACTTGTCATGTGGACGCTCGGGGGGAAACCTACCGACAAGTCTTCACCGCGCCCGTGTCTGGCACTCCTGGTGTCACCGTGTGTGTAGAAAAGACCACACGGACCGTGCCCAGCACTCCTGGTGACACAACAGAAAAGATGACCCAGCTGCCCACAACAAAACCTATCACCCTGGCAACTGAAGTCGCCAGGAATCAGACGAACCTGATAGAAAATAGAACTATGAGGGCGCGACCGGGGAAGGAGCAATGCGCGTGCGGGTACGAGTATGCATATATGTGGGGATCACCACAGGGATAGCCTCAGTGTTAGCTGTAGTAGGGGTAGAGCTTGTAGCAATGCAGGTGGTCTGTGTTATCAGAAATCAGCGCCGTCCGTCGCGGCAGGACAACCGACCTCTGCCACCTGTCGTCCCCCTGAATCGCTGGGTACTCGACGGGGCAGGTGGCGAGGACGCCCCGGTCAATGGGAGTCCCGTCAGCGCGACTGATGCGGCCACACAGACCGCTGAATGTGACCTGAACGAGTACGACGAAATCCCAGACGCGTACTACAACTACTACAACACACGGCCTGGGGTACAGAATCCTTACTGGGAAATTCCCGACGAGTACTACACGGACTACGTGAACACACGGACTGAGGCGTACCCAGACGAAGTAGTGACTTTCTACGCCGCTGCCGCTAACGTGGCCCTCCCTTCACAAACCCGACAGGGCGGCAAACATCTACCCTACAACACCGTCCCTCGTACTAGATCACTCCCACAGATACATACACGGCAGAGGAAGGCAAACGTTAGGTCATATGGCATGCGTGTAGGTGGTAGGAACAGGGTTAGAGATAGGGTCTTCGCTGGTAGGTATGGCAGAACGCGGGGAGCACTAATGTCCAGGGGTGGTCTGTATAATAATAATCCCCCCGCATTGGCAAGCAGACAGCAGGCAAACGTGAAATACCAGGCTGCACACATACACACACCCTCAAGGACACGACAAAACATGGCATATCTACACGCACAAGCCCCGCATCAGCCGACTGCAAAATCTGTCTTGGAAAAGCATTTGAAGGACGGCAAAGACTGTAATATTGGGGTATCTATGTCTACAAACAAGGCAAACCGTCGCCGGTACAGTATCTAGGGAGTGTACGTTATTGAGCAGGTTAGGTACCCACTGAAAGAGTTGGTTGTGTAACAACATATAGGCCCAGAGGAAGAGTTAAGCAATCTATTCCTGTTCCCGACATGATGAGAGGAAGTTTACAACGCGGAGATTTCATTTTCTGGTCCTGAAAATAAAAACGTTACACACGTTCCACCAAGCATGGGTAAAGTTTTAAGATGCCACCGAATTGTGAGCCCCCAACCGACCTGTCTTTCTACGTTTCTGTGTCTATTGTGATATACATGTACCTCCGCCTCTACTAAGGGAACGTCTGTAGAAATATACATACATATATAAAGACAGGCAAATACACAAACACACCGTGACATACATAAAAACAGGCTCAACTCTGAAACACAAAGGCTAGTAAATAACAGACACACACATTCATGCACACACATGTACATACACACACACACAAACACACACACACATACACACACACATACACACAGGCTCAACTCTGAAACACAAAGGCTAATAACAGACACACACATTCATGCACACACGTACATACACATACACACAAACACATATACACAACACACACGTGCACACAGACACACAGACACACACACAGACACACACACAGACACACACACACACACACACACACACACACACACACACACATACTCTTTCTCTGTCTCCCCCTCTTTTTCAAATAAATAATTGTGCTACATTAATGCTTCTGAATCTTGCACCCAGGAAAATTGCCGTGATTGGTATTTGGTCTTTGATACAGAAATTGTCGTAGACTGAAACAACAAAACGTTTTTCAAAGTAGTCTCAGTGTTGTAATGTTTACCCTGGAAGTCAAACTCGTTTTCCGGGCCGCAAGAGCCCTTCGCCCGCTGGTGTAAATTACCGCTACGTGGGAGTCTAGCCTGGGGGAGTTTGACTGGCTCTACAAACGTTGTAGGGCCGAAACCTCCCCACGGGCTCAATTCCACCGCAGCGGTAATTCAGGTCTGCGGGCGAAGGGCTTCTGGCTGCCGAAGGAAACGGTTTAGCGGCCCGTAAACTTGGCTGGCACCCAGGGTTTGTAATGTTAAGCACATTAGAATTGCGAATTCCACATCAGGAAAAACAACTTCAAAAAACAACAAAAAATATCACGCAAAATTCACTATTTAAAAACAAAGCTGCTGTGCGGTGAAAGGGCGCCTTTCCAGAAACAACCTTGGGAGGGGCAGGAGCAAATGTTCAGATGGTCCCACCATATGACGGAATTGGCACGAAAACTCTCGCGAGACTATGCGTCTCCAACACGTGACCCCGCAGAGAGCGTGTCGGGACATGAACGGACAATCTTCCATTCTACAGTTTGCCACGCAGCGCTGCAGTAACGTGGGTAATAGCGCTGACAGAGACGGGCGTGTGCTGCAACTTCCCGCGCTTTTCAGAGACGCCTCCTCGGTTTAGACCACCCGGACTCTAGTTTTTTATATTTTTTTCCTTCCCCTGGGTTTACCTTGGCCCCTCGGAACTCTCTCCGTCCCGAGTTTTACCCCCGACCATGTTTGGAGCCGGCAAGAGAAAGATTAAACTCCCCGCGCGATACGCCGCGTCTCCTGCGGAGGACGACCCTGAATGGCTTTCGACTCCAACAGACAACCTCGCGGAGCAGCTAGACAACGAAATTTTAGACGTTTCCAGACGCATAGAGCAAATGAAGGTCGACATGGGCCTGGAAAACCGGACGGAATCCACGTCTACCCCCCTCCCCACGCACGGCGACGTCATCGGTCATCGGTCGACCATCCCAGAAGCCCTTGCGCAAGATCCTCAAGATGGCCGCCACCAGCGCCTTTCAACAAGAGCTCCTAAGCCCATCGCCCCACCGGATGGCCACTATCCAACCTTGCGTGAGGTCCGGGCGTTTCACAAGGCGCATAACGACCCGTCCACTTTCACACAGCATTTCCCGAGGCAGACAGGCGGGACTCACGTCGCCGATACGATCCGAAGCTCTGACGGACGTCCCATGCAGTTCAACCTTCAATACGTCTCTGACGAGGACGCGCACCCGCCGGCCCAAGGTAAGAAGCTCAGTAGCGGTCTTTCGAGAAAAGCACATGACAGAGTAGTTCGAGAAGTGAACTGGCCGCATGAATTCGTCTTCTCTGCCAACACCACCATCACTCATGACTCTCTGACTTTAGATCAACTTGTGGCTGGCGAAATGGCCATCATTCTAAGTCCCCATACAAATCCCATGGAGAGTCAAAACAGGGGCCATATTTTGAAAGGGCTCATGCTCGACGTTCCCACCTATTCCTTTCCCGGTATTAAGAACTTCTACAAGATTCTGTTTATACACGTAGAGCACGGCCTGGTCACCATAGACAGCACTACTACCTTATCAGAAGTACACAAGTTGAAGGAGGAACATTTGCGACGACCCCCCCGCAACCACAACAGTATTGATGGACAAGTAGGACATGGTCATGCCACACCAGTTGAGAGAGCAGGGGGCTCAAGAAGCACGTATTGCTACAGATTCCAGGCCAACAATTGTGCCTTCTCTGCAGATCACATAGCCGCTTCGGGTACCCTTCACGTCCATGCCTGCAAGTTCTGTGCCAGACACAGACCTGGGGTTGATGCTGGACACCCTGCCAAGTTCTGTCCTTATAACCGGGACCGCGGCCGACAGGGCAACCACGCAGCCGCAAGGGACACTCTTGCCTGACTAGGCCCAGTCCAGACTTCAGAACTGATAAACCCGGCATCGACTTTGAATGGACATAGGACTACGCAGATGCCTTCTACAGCGGGCGTCGCCAGTCAATCCCCACTAGTGATGACTGCAAACGTCACACGCAGACCCAGCCCGTTGTTACAACTGACTGCCTCAGCAACAGACTCGTGTTCCTCAGATCATGAAACAAATCCCCCACCCTCTGGGATGGCGAACCCCCTTCAGCACCCACCCGCTCTGAAGCCTTTACCAGACAAAACGGCGAGCGCGTGCCTCCACCCACATGCCCTGAAGCCCTCACCAGCGAAGACGGCCGGCATGTACACCCACTCCCACGCTCCGAAGCCCTCACCCGCGAAGACGGCCGGAATGTACACCCACTCCCATGCTCCAGAGCCCTCACCAGCAAAGACGGCGAGCATGTACACCCACTGCCATGCTCCAGAGCCCTCACCAGCAAAGACGGCGAGCATGCAGACCCACTTACGTGTTCCGAAGCCCTTACCAACGAAGACGGTGAACAGTGACCAGCCTTCTACACCTGAGCTTACCGCCACACAGACACGGAGTGCAGCCGATCTAACCTCGTCGACCAGTTCCCGGTTTCGCCCAGCAGCAGGCTCAGACCAGGACGGACCCAGCTTCCTGCATCAGGTCGTCCACGCCTCAGGTCAGTACAACTTCTGTGGCCTCCGCATCCCGTTACAGACTCACCTAAAGATTCCAGTCTGGCGAACAGCCCTTGAACATTATTCCGACAAGTGCATTGTGGAATTTTTAGCGTACGGCTGGCCTATTGGTTACGATTTGCAGACTTTACCTGTGTCTTCCAGGCGGAACCACAACACTGCTAGAACCTATAGCGACGCCGTAGATAGATATGTCAACAAGGAGGTTGACCTGGGAGCTACACAGGGACCTTATCCACTACCACCGTTCGAGAACCACTTCGTCACATCCCCACTCCAGACGGTTCCGAAGGGCAGCGACGGAGAACGACGGGTAGTGGTCGACTTAAGTTTCCCGCACGGGTCTTCGGTCAACGATGGTATTTCATCTACGCAGTACCTGGGAGATCCCTTACACCTCACGCTCCCCAGTCACGACGCGTTTGAATCGTTGATTAAACAGAAAGGTCCCGGTTGCTTGTTGTTTAAGAGAGACCTCAGCCGTGCCTACCGTCAGTTACCTGTGGATCCTCATGACTACCACCTGTTGGGTTTCACCTGGCGGGACAACTTCTACTATGACACGTCATTCCCCTTCGGATTAAGGTCGGCGGCGATGGCTTGCCAG